ATATACATATACATATACATACATGTGTGTATGTATATGTGTATATGTATGTATGTATATGTGTGTGTATATATATATGTATATGTATATACAGAGGAAGAAATTAAATTAAAATTTTGCTGGCACTAATTGGCAACTCTATTGTCCATCAGTAGTTCTGGGTCACAGTTCCAAGGTGGAGAGGAATGCTGGTGGTTGGTCACAGTTCCAGGGCCAAGAGGGGTACTAACACTTATACCTGCAGGAGAGCAGGGCAATTGGTCACAGGTCCAGAGCCAAAAATAGCACTATTACCTGCGTTTTCAGGAGAGTGGGGGCCCTCCTTGGTTAAAGACATCAGAGTACAGACCAGGAGAGCAGTGACCACACCTCTCCCAGGATAATACCACCTTGGAAGTACCAAAAACTTATAGACCCCCAAACTAGCTCTGATGACAGCAGCACAGAAAGGCCTAAGCTTGGCATAGTGCCTCCTCACCTCAAGGTGAGCAGAATCTAACTTTACTTAAAAACTCAAAGTCAAGAAATAAGTTGGGAAAATGAACAAACAACAACTAAAAAGAAACTTGACCATAAAAAGTTACTGCAGTGGCAGGGAAGACCAAGATGTAAACTTAGAAGGCAATAATGTGAAACATCTAAAAATAAAGCTTCATTTAAAAAAAGAAGGAGAAAAAGAAAAAGGTAATTGGACCCAAGGCCAGCAAGAATTTCCAGAAGAGTTGAAAGAAGAGATAGGAGTGATAGAGGAAAAATAAGGGATGAGTGATGTAAGGAAATTATAATGAGAAAATTAATAGCTCAGTAAAAGAGACACACACAAAAAACCTGAAGAAAATATGACCTTAAAAAACAGAATTAGTCTAAAATTCACTATAGAAAAGAACTCCTTTAATGCAAAAGGAGGCACAAAATTTCACCAAAGAAAAGAACTCCTTAAAAAGCAGAATTGGCCAAATAACAAGAGAGGTACAAAAGCTCACTGAGGAAAATAATTCCTTAAAAATTAGAGTTAGACAAGTAGAATCTGATGGCTTCATGAGATTTTTAATAAAACAAAATCAAAAAATGAAAAATAGAAGAAAATGTGAAATATCTCATTGGGGAAAAAACAGACCTTGAAAATAGATTGAGGAGAGATAATTTTAAAATTATTGGACTACTTGAAAGCCATAATTAAAGAAAGAGCCTTGACATTATATTTCAAGAAACTATAAAGGAAAACTGCCCTGGTATCTTAGATCCTGAGGGTAAAATGAAATGGAAAGGATCTACTAATCACCTCCTGAAAGAGATCCCAAAATCTCAGGCATATTATAGAAAAATTCCCAAATTCACAGGTCAAGGAGAAAATGTTGCAAGCAGCCAGAAAGAAGCAATTCAAATATTGTGGAGCCACAGCCAAGAACACGTGAGATTTAGCAACTTCCAATTAAAGGACTGGAGGGCATGGCATATGACATTCTAGAAGGCAAGGGAGCTAGGATTACAACCAAGAATAACCACCAGAAAAACTGAGTATAATCTCAGGGGGAAGGGAGGAAATAGATATTTAATGAAATAGAAGACTTCTAAGCATTCCTAATGAAAAGACTAGAGCTAAATAGAGAATTTGATATTCAAATACATGTCAAGAGAATCAAAAAAAGTGAACATGAGAGAATAATCATAAAAAACTCAAAGTTGAACTATTTACATTCCTATATGGGAAGATAACACACATAACCCCTAAGAACTTTATCATTATTAGAACAGTAGAAGGAGTCTGCATAGACAGAGGGTACAGGTGTTAGTCAATTATGTTGAAATGATCTCCAAAAAAAAAATGTAGTGGTGAGAAAGAGGAATTCACTGGGAAAAGGGGGAAGGGAGAGGCAGAATGAGGAAAATTTTCTCACATAAAGGAGGTAAGCAAAGAAGAGCTTTTATAGCGGAGGGGAAATGGGCAGTGGCAGGCAATGCTTGGGTCTCACTCATCAGAACTGGTTCAAAGATGGAAGAACATAAATACACACTCAGTCAGATATAGAAATTTATCTTACCTAATAAAGAGATAAGAGGAAAAGGGGATAAGAGATATGGGGTGGGTATGATAAGGGGGAGGGCAGATTGGGGAGGTAGTGCTTGGAAGCAAGACAGACTTTTGAGGAGGGACAAAATAAAAAAGAGAGAGAGAAAAAGAAGTAAAAGAAAATGGTTTGGATGGAAAGGAACAGTTAATGATCCCAACTGTGACTATAAATGAGATGAACTAACCCATAGGACAGAAGCAGAATGATTTGGAAACCAGAATCCAACAATATGTTCTATGCAAGAGATACACTTGAGATAGAAAGATACACACAGAGTTGAAATGAAGGGCCGGAGCAAAGTTTATTATGCTTCAGTTGAAGTGAAGAGAGCAGGGTCATTATCTCAGGCAAACTAAAAGCAAAATTGGACCTAACTGAAAGAGATAATCAGAGGAACAACATTTTACTAAAAGGCACCATAGACAATGAAGTCTATTAAAAAAAAAGTTTCACAGCAAGTTTCTTTATGTGCCTTTATCAAGACCTCATTTCTCAAATAGATAGGGAACTGATAAAAATAAGAGCTATTCCCCAACTGATAAATGAACAAAGAATATGAACAGGCAGCTTTCAGAAGAAGAAATTAAAGTTTTCTATTGTCATATGAAAAAATGCTCTAAATTACTATTGATTAAACTGCAGGGGTGGGGAATCTGAGCCTCGATGCCACATATGGCTTTCTAGGTCCTTGGGTGCAGCCTTTTGACTGAGTCCAAATTTTACAGAACAAATCCTTTTATTAAGGGGATTTGTTTTGTGAAGTTTGGATTCAATCAAAGGGCCACACTTGAGGACCTAAAGGGCCACATGGCCTTGAGGCTACAGGCTCCCCACCTTTGGATTACAGAAAGACAAATTAAAACATTTTGGGGCAGCTAGGTAGATAGAGCACCAGCCCTGGAGTCAGGAGGACCTGAGTTCAAATCCAGCTTGATACTTACTAGATGTGTGATCCTGGGCAAGTCACTTAACCCCATTGCTTAACCCCCTTCCCAAAAAAAAAATTAAAACAACTCTGAAGTACCACCTCACGCCTATCAGAAATGAGAAATGCTGGAGGTGATGTGGCAAAATAGGTACATTAATGAGCTGTTGGTGGAAAAGAGAACTGGTCTAACCATTCTAGAGAGCAATCTGAAACTATACCCAAAGGCTATAAAACTGTGCTTACCCTTTAATCCAGAAATACCATTACTAGATCTGTAACCCCAAAGAGATCAAAGAAAAAGGAAAAAGACGTATATGTACAAAACTATTTCTAGCAGCTCTTTTAGTGGTGGCAAAGAATAGGAAATTGAGGGGATGCTCATCAATTGAGGAATGGCTGAACAAGTTGTGGCATATGATTTTGATGGAATACTCTTGTGTATGAGAAATGACAAAGCAGAATTTGAGGGTACATTCTTTCAGAAGAAAGATAGCAAGACCTATATGGACTGATGCAAGGTGAAGTGAGAAGGACCAGAAGATCACAGTGCACAGTAACAGCAATGTTGTAATGATGATCAACTGTGAAAGACTTGGCTACTGTAATCAATGCAGTGATACAAGACAATTGCAAAGAACTCATGATGCCTACCTCCCAGGAGAGAACTGATACATTCTGAGTGAAAATTGAAGTATAATTTTCTTGCTTTTTTTTGCTGTTTTTTGTGACATGATTAATATGGAAACATTTTACATGATTTCATGTTTAATTGGCATCATATTATTTGCCTTCTTAGTGGACGGTGGAGGGGTGAGAAATAGGAAGAGAATCTAGAACTCAAATTTTTAAAAGAAAATAATGTTAAAATAAATATTTTAAAAGGAAAACTGATAAAATATTATTTTTTTCTTCCTAACTTTAAGTTAATACAAAGTTATCTATACTTTCAATACTATCTTATAAAATACTTTTAATCTCTTTATTTCTTGGACCAATTAGCATTTCTTTAATTTTTTTTTTGATGAGGCAATGGGGTTAAGTGACTTGCCGAGGGTCACACTGTATCTGAGGTCAGATTTGGACTCAGGTCCTCCTAACTCCAAGGCCAGAGCTCTATCCACTGCACCCCTAGCTGCCCTTAGTTAGTATTTCTTTAACTGAGATAATATCTGTAAAGCAATTAGCACAATGCCTGTCACTTAATAGGTGCTTTATAGATGTTTATTCCCTCTGTTGGACTCTATGTACTTTTCTAAGCATTAGTGCTTCAGATATGTTGCATATGGGTTATTCGTGTTAACTTCCATGCTTAAATATGGATACAGAAAGTTAATAGATGTTAATATTATTTAACATTTAAATCATCAAAATTACATCGTAGACAATGGTCTAATCCATAAATGTCAAACTCACAGATCTATCTAAAAAAATAAATAAAAGTGCAACATAGATTATGTTAATTTGTGGCTTCCTTAGTCAACATATGGCCCCAGGAATCTGTTTTTCTGTTTGAGTTTGACATCACTGTCCATTCCTGGCACAATGGCATGATAATGTACAAAGGAACTGGGTGGGAAAGGAAGAGATTACTTGGGCCACTTACTTAAAAGAAAGTTTCCAGGGGGCTCATCTTTCTGCTCTCTAATCAGAGGGACAGAAGGTCCTGAGGGTTCAGATGAAATGTGAGCACCAAGACTGATCCAATCTTTCAGGATGATGAACTCAAATTATGTGCAGCTGGTTGGGAAGTGAAGCAAGAGAGTTTCTCTAGATGAACAAGATGGCCTCTGATGGCCCTTTCAGGTCTGGATTTATGATCCTACCTCTCCTGAATATCTAATTTACCAATGACATGGTGATGCTATAGGACCTCCTCTGGCTGACTCATAACTGCCCGATGACAACAGGATGGCTGTCCGTCTCCATACATCACAATCCCCAGCCTAAAATAGTATAGTGGTTAGGGACTGGATTATTACTTCATTTGTTGGTTTAGACATCTCCCTAGTCAGGAAGCTCTTTCTGCTAATGCAGGTCAGCGCATTCCCTTTTCAGATTTAGAGAATTGCCTAGGGCATGGAAAGGTTAAATAACCTGGGCTGGGTCAGGAATCCTACATGTGTTAGAGCTGAGATAAGATAAAGAGATTGCTTTTGTTCTCAAATCCTAGAAGAGTTCCTCGTACAATGGGAGGATTAATCCTTGGATAAATCCTTGTTGACTGATTAAGAAGATATCTTGCTTATTCTTTTCATCACAGTGGTTCCACTTAGTTCCCCCAATTTACCTTATTAATACATCATTCCTTGCCTTTTAGTTCCATATCTAACCACTAGAGAGCGCTAATGCTCTCTGCATGTTAGAAAACAGGACACCTATATATACTTCTGCAAATAGGAATTGCATTTCTGGGATCACGAGCATTGGATATGTGACTTCAGACTGACAGTTCTAAGTATCATATCATTTCCAAGCTGTGGGCTCTGATAGGACATTGTCCTCTACTCTGTGTAGCTTGGAATGCACAGAGTGAAGGAGAACTGTATCTCTCTTCTTCATGGAGATTCCACAAAGTTCTTCAAACTGACAGACAACTTCCTAAGTGTTAAGCTCTCTCTGGACAATTTCCCTTATAAGGTTGATATGGTTGGGGTCTGGGAGTTGTAAACCTCTATGGCAAGAAAAATAATTTGGTTTCCTTTACTTAAACTATTGGCTTTTTTTTAAAGTATGAGTGTGTTAAGTAATAGGGGAATAAAAGAAAGGAAGGAAATTACTGGCTGCCATTTGGAATAGAGTTTTATGAAAAAAATTCATCCAACACCATACAGGATCATAGAATCACAGATCTAGAGTGGGAGGGTAGCTCAGAGGCCGTCTGAGCCTAGGTGGATCTAGGTGGAAGCCTGATTGGGGTAGCTATAAGACTATGGGGTGCCTCTCAGAGGGTATAAAAATATTCCTAAAAGTTTTTAGTCTCACAAATAATGTTGTGCTAATCCCAAGAGGAATTATCACCACATTGACTTGCAAATTTTTAAGAGAAGATATGGATATAGTGGGTCATTTGGGGTTTTACTTTAGAAGGACCACACTTGTGATTCTGTTGGAGTAGGGAACTTCCTCCATTCTTAATGCAAATCCAGTACACAAATCAGCGACTACTATATAACTTATCATCTTAAAGATTTGCCAGGGATGAGAGGCTAAATGGTTTAGCTGGGGTCACAAACCAAAATGTTCTAGAATCTGTACTTCTAGACCCCTCACCTCCTTCACTTTCTCATCACTTTGCCTTTGACCTTTAAAAGTCCTGCCTAAAGACCTGTTAATTCAAAACAAACCTTAGCAACCTTTTATACAACTCCAGGCTTTTGTGATGACATCCTCCTTTAAACTCTTGAAGTACCTATTGAATATACCCCAACTTGGTAGTATATAGCTATTGATATGTAATAGATTGTAACCCCCATTGGGGTTAAGAACCAAGTCTGATACTACTCAGTACTTTCCAGACCTAGCCCAAAGGCCCATTCACAGTAATTCTATTAATGACCTCTTAGACTCTTTTCTTAAGAAATCTGATATCTAGAGAAGAGAAGACTCTGGGGGATTATGAGATTTGAAGGACTGTCAGGTGGGGGAGGGACTAGATTTGTTCCCTTTAGCCCCTGAAGGCCAGAAGCAATGGGTAAAAGTAAGAACTTTATGTCAAGGGAAAAAATTATTAACAATTAGAGCTGTCCAAAAGTGAAATGGGCTATTTCAATTGGTGGTGGGTTACCCCTTTTTGGAGCCTGGACAATAATTCATTGGGTATGTTATAGTATAGATTCCTTTGATGATTGGATTGGGCCTAGATGGATGGCCACTGAGGGTCGTTCCAACTTTCAAACTCTATGATTCTGTGAAGTGTGTCCCCAGAAAGCTATCCAGGGTCTAGGTCTTCTATGGAGCAGAATCTTCACTTCATCAAAGTTTATCTACCTCCCCACTCTCAGTGTATTTGTTTTTATTAGTCATCCAGAAGACATACAGTTCAAAGCATACTTAACATAGCCTAGTGAAATCATAAACCTGAGGTTTATTCTCTCTCTCTTCAAATACACCCAGAAGGAGGAACATGTTCAAGGGTCATATGAAAGGCATATATACACAGGAAGTACATGTGATCAGGACTTATACTGAGGACATCTATACTAATCCTTTTGATACTTCGAAGGAAAAGGAAGAAAAGAGAAAGGAAGGCAGGGCAAGGCAAGGCAAGGCAATCAGTCTAGAGCCAAGGAAAACCCACTCCAAATTGGAAATGTTCTGTCTTCTACTGTTTGGTTAGGTTTTCATGGAATTTTTGCTTGTAGATAAACTGAGTTTGTGTGGATAGGCTTAGATTGGACCTGGAGAATAGAAGAGCAGGAGGGGTCTCATTAGTAAATGTGGCTGGAATTAATGCATATTTTGTGGTCTGGGGAAGTTATTTGTGGACCTGAAGACTCATCTGATTTTGCTGGGAAGTCATTTTCAATAAATTTAGCTGAAGAAATTATGCTGCCTGGGTCGGCTACAAATGTACTCTTTCTAATCCGATTCTAATATTGCATAGCCATCCTTTTTATTAATCCTCCTAACTCCATAACAGCATCCCCAAAACATCTGTTCTAAAACTTCCCTTCTCTCCCCAAGTCTCTAACTCCACCACACTCCCTAACTCTTTGTGGATGGTTTCATCTCATATTTTTTCCTGAAAAAAAAATAGGTCAAACAACATGACTCACTCAACTCTCTATCTCCACATCTCTTGACTTCTATTCCTTCATACATCCTCATTCTTCCTTTCATCTTATTAGGTTCAGCCCACTGCTCTAGCCGCTCAAGCTATTCTGGGATACTAACTCTGTTACCCAGGGTATTTACTAGAGAGCCTTCTAGGTTTTGTCATTGAAATTTCATAAGGATGCCATCTCTGCCTTTCTTTGTGTCATTGGTAATTTTAAACAGCACAGGGTCCAGCACAAATTCCTGGCATGCTCCCCGCCCCATTAAAATATAATTTATTAGAATATTAGTATTGACTTGATTTTATATTTGTATCCCCAACAGTGAGCATAGTGCTTGGCACATAGTCAGTGTTTAATAAATCTTTTTCCTCATTCATTTGCTCTCCTGAAGACCTTCGGTTGACAGGCTTTAGTGTCCCCATCCCCAAAAGAACTTTTTAGGATTCAGCTTTTATGGCAAGCTATCTTCTTCATCCCAAAGTCCTAGGAAGCACATGTTACATTCTTTGTGGTCTGGATGGGGGCGGGGCCCAAGCCAAGATCTTCGCCCTTTGCCCCAAAGGGAATCTGACTCACAGGCCCCAGACCCTCATCTCCCTTTGAAAGCCTTAGCCTTTACCTTTTAATCTTATTCAGATGCGCCCTAAAAGAATCTGTCACCCTTTTGTCTATAGGCCCCAGAAAGGCCTTCCTTTATCTCCTTTTGAAAGTCCTAGCCCCACCTTGATTTTGTGCAGATGCCTTTCAAACTTCTGCCTTCCTGTTCCTTCATTATCTATTCCCATTGTCTATTCAATCTCTCAGACCTCCCCAATTAGAATTGTTACCTAGACCCTTTACCCAGCCCCCTTCTCTGGCCACCCAAAGTTACTTTAGCATTTGAGATCCACCTTGGCCCTCATTCAGATGCTGAGAATCTCAGGCCCACAAGGCTGAGAACCTCTCATGCCCGTTTGTCCTTACGGGTGTCACCTGGCCTATATGTTTTATCACTAATAAACTTTTCCTCTAGCTGAAGAAGATTTGAGTTGAATTCTTTCAGCCAGGGCCCGGTACAGTGATCTTGGGGTCCCAGCACCCCAAAACCCCTAGACCTCTTCAGTCTCACTTCCCCTTGCAATGTAGCTTCTGTCTCCACCACTCTACTGAAATAGATCTCTCCAAAGTCATTCATGACTTAATCCTATGGCATTTTTTCTGTCATCATCATCATGCTTCATGACTTCCCTATGTCATTTTATAATCCAGACCATACTCTCTTCCTTGAAACCCTTTCTTCCTCTCTTAGCTCCTATGATACCACACTCTCATCTCTCTCCTTTCTCTCTGACCACTCCTCTACCTCCTTATCCTTCTCCCTTTAAACACGGATGATTCCCAAAGTTATAATCTATGCCTTCTTTTCTTCTCTCCCTTGGTGATATTGATTATATGCAGATGACTTCCAAATGGATATTGCTATCTCCATTACTTCCCCAGAACACTAAATCTATTTAAGTCTTGTTCTGTAAGACTTTAAACAGGTGATTCTATTGGGATTGAACATCTACTTTGTAGATTTTCTAGGCTTCTGATTCTCCTCTCTGCCCACCTATGCCTGGGCCACTTAGCCAACTACTATTAACCATGTTCACCAGAGGTCAGAGCTTATGGCACTTAGCACATTTTGTCTTATACTACAATTATTTTAATATATCTTGTATTCACTACTAGATTACCATCTTTTCCCAGGTAAAGACCAAGTTTTCCTTGTATCGCCCTCAGGGCTGAATATGTTGTTTTACATATAAGAAAAACTTAACAGATGTTTCAACAAATTCAGCCCAATCTCTGCCCTCAAAGGGCTTACAGTCTAATAGGGAGAATATAACCTGTAAGTGTAGAATTTACCTATTGTACCTTTACCACCATTTTATACAGATAAGGAATACAGAATTCACTTTATGTACTGTCTTTCTCTTCCTTCCTCACTTAAATCCCATCCATTTGCATGACATGGCATCAGTTCCCTGACATCACAGTCCCCTTCTAGAATGAAGGACAAACAATAACAATCCTATCCTGCTATATTTCATCAATACTGCTGACTATACTCCTCTAAGTGATGAATCGAATGCTCTTGAGCTGTGGTTGGGAATCTCTGCTGAAAACTGAAAAATTAAAACCATTGTATGGCCCCATCATTCCCTCTTCCTGGATTTTTAAAAAAATAATGCAATAGATTACTTATGTTTATTACTTTTTTTATCATACTTATTTAATAGACCAAGTCAAAAAATGTTGAATGAATGAATGAATAAATAAATGAAATCAAAGGAACTGAAAATCCCAAAATGTTTCAGAACACCTCATAATAGCAGATGGAGAAATAACACCAGTTTAGCAGCTATGGTCAGGATGCAGTTAGAGGAAAGCATACTCCTTGACCATGTTCTGTTTGGAAATTCTTTTTTTAGAATGTTTATGTGTGCTTTGTTCTTGAGTGACCGAATTACCATGAAAAAGAATATGGGACTTGGCTAGTCACGTAGACATTTGTGATCAATAAAAATAACCCACATTCAGGTTATTTTTGAAATTAAAAAATGCAATAAAATGCATTAAAAAATAGCCTCAAATCTAGGAAGACCGAGGTTCAAATACTGCATCTGGCACATACAAACTGTGCAACCTGGGCAAGTCATTTACCTCTCCATGGTCTAGGCAGCTCTCTAAGACTAAAAGCATATAGGTAACATTTATAAGACTTAACAAATATCATTTCATTTATCCTCACAACAACCCTGAGATGCTATTGTTATTTCTATTTTACAGATGAGCAAACTGAAACAGGCAATATTAAATGACTTACACAAGGCCATAGTCATTTAATGTGTGAAGATAGATTTGAATTTGGACCTTCTTGACTCTAAACCAGTGCTCTATCTACCAGGCCATCTAGCTACCAGTAAGTTATAGTGAAGGATCACACTTATGTTGATAGCGGAGTTTTTATCAGCTGGGAGTTCCCTATATCAATGAAATTATAGGTCCAATCCATTTCCCTTTCCCTTTCTTCACAAAATCCTTGTGAATCAGTTAAAGCAAGTCTTATTTCCATTTTACAATGAGGAGCATGAGGCTTGGAGAATTGGTAATACTTGCCCATGAGTTAATAACTTGAATCAACATCCAGGTTTCCTGATTCCAAATCCAGTCCCCTTTCTACAATACCACTTAAAGTCAGCTAGTCAAGGGAAAGCTTAGGCAACCTTCAGAAAATCTTCCCGAACTACAATCCTGTTTGTCTGGTTTGTTTGTTTTTTTTAAGTTCTAGATGAGGTAATTATTTAATTCTTCAATCACATTGGGTCCTCTGAAGTGGATCATAATTAAAGTAATTGTTTAGTGACAATTACAATTTACAATACTGTAAAATTCTCATATAACCTCAACAAAGTAATAACTCCCTGGTTGTGTAAAGGTTTTCATTAATGCAATTTTTTAAAATTCTAAGGTAAAATAAGTTGACAAAGAGTTCCATGTTTCTACTATTGTGTCTGCAAGATGAAAGCTTTCTGAGTCGCTGTCTGTGGGAGTGTTTTTCTCTTCAATATTATAGACCCATAAAAAAATTGAAAAAATGAAAAGAAACAATGTTAAAGACCCATAGTTCAATTAGAAGAATGGGTTTCAATACTGTGCCTTTGGGTCTCACATTGTGCCCGTTTAGAGGAAATTATCAAGGTTTGTTGGAAGCAACAAGGGATAATTTGAACTCATCATTTTGGGGCTCTCTATTTTTGAAGGAGGCTCTCTATTTACAAAAGAAGAATGTGTTCTTCCTCTCAATTTCCTCTGTGCTGTGTGGCTTTTGTCTTCATTGCTTAACTTAAATGACTCTAAATTTACCAATGATACCTTAATCTTCAAATAGAATAAGCTTTTCTTCATTCTCATCCTTCTTGGCCTATCAGCAGCCTTTGACACTATTGATCAACCTCTTCTCCTTGACACTCTCTTCTCTCTAGGTTTCTGTGACACCCTCACGGTTTTCCTCCTACCACTCTGACCGATCCTCAGTTTCCTTTGCTGAATCTTCATCCAAGTCATGCCCACTTACGGTGAATGTCCACTGAGGCTCTATCTGGGGCCCTCTTTATTTCCCTCTAAACTATTTTCTTCATCTCATCAGTTCCCCTAGATTCAGTTATCATCTTTACATTGATGTTTCCCAGGTCTACTTATCCAATACCAGTCTCTCTCAACCTCCAGTCTCACATCTCCAACTACCTAGTAGACATCTTCAAGCTAAATGTCTCATAGACATCTCTGACTCAATATGTCAAACAGTACTCATTATCTTTTCCCCAAACTCCTCCCTTCTTGCTAATTTTCCTATTACTGTTGAGTGCATCACCATACTCCCAGGCATCCAATCTCACAACCTACATGTTATTCCTCAATTCCTCACTCTCTCTCTCTCTCACACCCCATATCCAGTAAGTTGCCACAGTTTTCTTCCTTGTAATACCCCTGTATGTACTCCTTCTTTCCTGTAACTCTGACACAAATGTGGTTTAAGCCCTCATCATCTCATGCCTAGATTACTACAATAGGTTTCTAGTTGGTCTAATTGCCCAAGTCTTCCTCCACTCCAGTCCATTCTCTGCTCAGCTATCATCTTTCTAAAGCTTAGGTCTGACCATGTCACATACCCCTGACTCCTCTTCAACATACTTCAGGGGCAACTTGTTACCTCTAGAATCAAATATTCTGGAGTTCAAAGTCTTTTATTACCTGACCCCCTCATACTTTCAAGTCTTCTTCCGCCTTGCTTCACTCTCATGTACCATGTGATCCAGGAACACTGGCCTTCTTGGTCATCCTCACATAAGATATTTCTCCTGAATTAACACATTTTCAATGGCTTTACTCAATGCCTGGAATTTTCTCCCTCTTTATCTCTTTCTCTGTGTTACTGGGCTCTTACAAGACCTACAAAACATACCACCTTCTACAAGAAGCCTTAATACTAATGAGTATTCGCTTTTGTTAATTATCATCAATTTATCCTGTATATGTTTATATGTTATCGTCCCAATAGATTGTGAGTTCTTTGAGAGCAGGGGCTCCCTTTGGCATTTCTTTGTAATCCCAGTGCCTGGTACATAGTAGGTGCTTAATAAATGCTTGTTGACTGCCTGAAAACGTGGTAAATAAAGCATGGATAGAAAGTTTCAGCTACACATTCTAATAAGACCAAGAAGATTCAGAGAAGTATCTGATGAAATTTTTTTAAAAAGTGTAAAGGAAACCTAGAGAGAATGAAATTCACTGTGCGTAGTTTTTTCTTTTTTAAATAGACTCACAATTTAACAGAGTTTAGTCATGGAAGAAGTGGTAAGAATCCATTTAGCAATCCAAAGGTTTCAATAACAGCAATAAACAATTAGGTATGTCCATTATTCATCTTGATCAATGAAACCTAAACACTCCCAGGAATAGTCAAACTGAATTTTCATAGGCTATTGTGTTTCCAGAAACAGTAGTAGAAAGAATGCTGGACTTTACATCAGAACCAATCAATTAATAAGCATTTATTAAGTGTCAAGTATGTGATAGGCAACTAGAGAAGGAAACGGCAAACCACTCCAGTGTCTTTGCCAAGAAAACCCCAAGAAAATGGGGTCATGAAGAATTACAACAACAACGTGTGATAGACAGGTAGGTGGTGTAGTGGATAGAATATTGCATCTGGACTCAGGAAAAACTGAGTTCAAATACTGCTTCAGACACTTCCTAACTAGATGACCCTGGGGAACTCATTTAACCTCTCTCAGACTTAGTTTCATCATCTGAAAAAGGGGAATAATAAAAAGCACCTACCTCATAGGATAGTTATGAGATAAGAGATTTAAAGTGCTTTGCAAATCACAAAGTGCTAAATAACCACCGGCTATTATTACTACTACTTTTATTATGATCATCATTTATTTATCATCAGTTCTTGATCTTCTGCTTCTCTGCATGACCTTGGACAGGTAAGCTCACTTCTCTGGATTTTGGTTTTGTTTTACAGTGGCAGAGATCATAAGGTCAGAGCACCTGGAATACCATGCTTAGTTGTGGGTGCCGTATTTTCAGGAGATGGATAATTAGAAGCTTGCCTGGTCCAGTACAGGACCAGGATATAAAAGATTTGGAGATCATGATATACAAGGGTCAATAGAAGGAACTGGGAATGTTCAAGCCAGAGAAGAAAAGACTTAAATAAAGACAGCAGCAGTCTTCAAGTATTTGAAAAATTGTCATGGGAAAAAACTGAGTAGTCTTATTTCATGTGGCTTCAGAGGGCAGAGCTAGGGGTATATGGGAAGAACACTGGCTCTGGGGTCAGAGAATCTGGGCTCAAATGCAGTCTCTAACACTTACTATCTGCATGTCTTTGAACAAGTAATAACTCCCTGGGCCTCAGTTTCTTTATTTGTTCATCTGGAAATCGAAGGAGAGGACTAGATGTCTTCTGAGGGCCCTTCCAGGTACAGATATGCAATTCTTTGATCTTAAGCTACAAAGAGGCAGATTTAGCCTGGACATAAAAGGAAAACTTTCTAATATTTACAACCATTCAACAAAGGAGTGAGCTGTCTCTAATAATATTCTGGAATTCTGGGTCGGGCCAATTTAATTTAATTTTATTCATTTATTTATTTATTTATTTATTTTGGTAAGGCAATCAGGGTTAAGTGACTTGCCAGGGTCACACAGCTAGTAAATGTCAAGTGTCTGAGACTGGATTTGAACTCAGGTCTTCCTGACTCCAAGGCTGGAGCTCTATCTACTATGCCACCTAGCTGCTCCTTTCAGGCCCAATTTTAGAGGGTCTCTCTCTCTCTCTCAGTCTCTCTCTCTCTCTCTCTCTCTCTCTCTCTCTCTCTCTCTCTCTCTTTCTCTCTCTCTTACATGCCATCAAATTTGAAAAAAAAAAGCAAAATTATGATTCCTTGCTGAGCACCTATCTACTGTGTTATTTATGCTACTCAAATGAAAGAGAAATCATTGCCCAGGACAAAAAGCAAAAGGCCTACAGAACACTAGTAGGTAAAATAATTCTTATTTCCCCTCTTGGGGATGTTTCCAGTATTCATGTGTGTTCATGAAGTGAACTTTCACAGTCCAGTTAGGTTCTAAGTCTTTGAATTGGAAGCCAGCCCAAGATTACCCCATCCATGGATCTTTTCTCAAATATGGCCTCTCCAAAGTCCTCAGAGGAAAGAAGACTCCTTCAGAAACCACTTCAAAACTTACTTTGACTCCTGGGACTAGATGAGCTCACAGCCTTTCCATAAACCTAAAGAAAACATTTTTTTTAAAAAAAGATCAATCTGATATGTTCTCCCAGGTATATCATCACTGTGTTCTTTAGATATAACAACTTGCAAAAGGATTATACTGAAGCCGAGCAGGGAAAATGTCAACTTGTAGTGAAAAAAAAAATCCTAAGTAGCACTAAAGAAGTTTTTAAATAAACTATTAAGATAGTGTAAGAGCTTAGCCTTAGAGAATGAGTCTTTTCTTATTTTTATTTTTAGTACCAACAGAGGCTTGCTATTAGTTATGACTCACAACAGTACAATATCACTACCCTCTCTTAGTAATCCAGAAATTGGTGCAAGACAGGCTGAGGTACCTACACAAGGCTGGGTAAGGAAAGAGAGAGTGAACTCCCAACCCCCAGGCCACCATTTTGATTTGCTACCCAACCTGATTTCTGCCATGGATCATAGGAGCATAGAACGGTAGAGCTGAAGGGAACCTTAGAGACTATCTGACTCATTCTCTTTCCTTCTACAAATGGGAAAACTAAAACCTAAAAAGGTTGTAACTCATGACATCATACAGAGGGTAGCATAGTTAGGATACAAACCCAGGTCCCTTTGACTTTAAATCTAGTCTAGTCCTCCA